CCGGGTCCCCTTCCCCTGTGCGGGACGCGAGCGCAGTGGGACTCACCTCCCTCCGGCCCCGGGCCGCTCCGGCTCTGCTCGGCCTGGGGGCTGGGCCCCGAGATGGTCTCGTAGGTGAGCTCCCCGTCGTCGGATCCTGCAGAGGAGAGACGGGCGGCAGCGTCTAGGTAGGCTCCAGTGGGGCAGGCCGGAGGAGGAAGGGGAGGCGGCCGGCTCGCCCCTCTTACCTTTTGGCTGCGCCGGAGGAGTCCTCCAGGAGAGGCTCAGGTCGGCGTAGATCACCTCCTGAGCCATCCCGCGGAGGTCGGACGGCGGCCCTCGGGCAGGGCCGGGAAGGCGACCAAGTGGCCCCTGCTTGCGCGATCGGGAACTTTGCGCAAAAGGGATGTGGTCGGGCTAAGCAGAAGTGCGTGGGAGTGCAAGGGCCTGCCCTGCCCGTCCGTTCGCTGCGGCTCCTCCTCCTCCCATTCGGAGATCAGAAATGGGGGGGGCGCTCATCCCCCTCCCGTGTGCATCCAAGACCCACCCTGGGGGGCAGAAGGGAGTCGACAGGGCGGGCGCCCGGGGCGGACAGAGCGTCTGGCTGGGCTCCTTTGGAAGGCACAGCTTCGGAGGTGTGGAAGGGGTAGGTCACCCTAAGAGGGGAAGGGAACAACCTCCAGGGCTTTGTGGGAAAGGGATCCAGCCTTTAGCCTCTCCCCAGCCCCCCCCCCCGCCAAAATCATGGCAGAGCGCTTTGTCCACAGCCATGGCCCCAAGGGCTTGACTCTTAAACCCCTGAGTTTGGTGTATTTAACATATCTGCTTGGAGCTGGAGGTGCCACCCCTTTTTCCTGAAAAGGCTCCTCCCCATCAACATGGCGACAGGAGGCAAGACTTACATCTGGTCGTCTCCATGATGGGAATTGTTGTACCCACTGAATTGGGCCAGTGCAGAGGAAGAGAATTTCATGGCATGTTCTCTTTTGAAGCATATGCCATCATTCATGTTTTTCAAATACAGTATCCCTGATGGAAATGACACTGAAACGTTGAGATGCAGGAGGAAGAAAAAGCGACAGATTTCCCCAGTTGTGTATGGATGGAACAGTTGCGTGTTGTGTCACGAAAGAGGCTGAAGAGAGAAGAACAGCTGTGCTGCAAGACAAGGTCCTGGATGATCACACCTGTAGCAGTCTTCAAAGGAGTAGATTTCTTCTGTATTGGACCTAAAGCCTGCTTGATACCGTCATACATTCCCTTGATGTTACCTGTGTCCGCTGCTATCTGTATCTGAGAGCAGAGCTGAAGACAATAATCATTAGAACATCTCCTGGCAGTCTATTGCTATGAGCAAATCAAACCTGCAAGTTGTACTCACTAGGACAGGTTTTGTATGCTGCTAGAGCTCTCCTCTTTTCCTCAATGGCTGGTATCAACTCCTCTGAATGGGCTTCAAACCAGTCTCCTGTCTTTTTGGTCTTCTTGCCAAATGTGGACAAGGCGGTGTTATAAACAGCGTTCTTGAAATGGTACATTTGCACCAGGTACATTTGCACCAGCCGGGCCTGGAAGGGTTTCCTCAAGCATATGAGCAATTTCTTCCACTTTTTTCTGATTGCGAGCCTTGCTGATGTTAATATGTGGTCTTCCTTCCTTTTTAGTGTGATGCAATCTCTTTATTCACAGTTTTACTCTGCTACACACCAGGGAGTGATCAGTATCGCAATCAGCACCCTGATAACTGTGTGTGATCGTAATACTACGAAGGCTAGAGCATCTAGTGAGGATCAGATCAAGCGGATGCCAATGCTTTGATCTTGGATGTCTCCAAGAGACTCTGTGTTGAGGCTTCTTATTAAAGAACATGTTGCTGACACAAAAACCATAATAACAGCAAAACTCCAGCAAGCATTGGCCATTTTTCTTCATCTTCCCAGTGCCAAAACAGCTTAGACAAGTGGGCCAGGAATTGTGATCAGCACGAACTCTAACATTAAAGTCTCCGAGAATGAACAGAGGCTCTCTCTCTCCCGGATTTTTTGATAGTAGCTGTTGTAGAATTTGACTTCTGTTGTGGACAACAGTGTTGGTACATATGCACTAATGAGGGTGACTGGTCCTGCTGATGAGTGGAGCTGCAGAGACAGGATTCTTTCATTCCCCACTGTAGGTGGAACAATGGATCTCAGCAGAGTATTTCTAACTGCAAAGCCAGCACCATATTCCCTGGTCTCCTTCAATGGCTTGCCCTGCCAGAAGAATGAGAATTTTTTTTCTTTGATAGAGCCAGAATCTGGCAATCTCGTCTCTTGCAGGACAACAATGTCCATCTGCTGTCTACTCAATTCCATGTTGATGACAGCCAGGGGTCATTGTCCGAACATTCCAGGTGCCCAGCTTTAGGGCAGAAGTTTTCTTATGATTGTTGCATGGTGTAGGGCACTGGTTCTTAACCTTTGTTACTCAGATATTTTTTGGACTGCAACTCCCAGAAGCCTTCACCATCAGCTCTGCTGGCTGAGGTTTCTTGGAATTGCAGTTCAAAAACACCGGAGTAACAAAGGTTATGAATCACTGGTGTAGGGTTATCAATCTGCTTGTCGGCTTTCACCCTAAACCCCATGCACCCCGTGAGGTTAACAGACCGTGGCGAGGCAGCACCTTACTGGCTGGGGGCTGCCCAGCATAAGGCAAGTGGTAGCTACCTAGTGAGGTGCAATGACTTCTCCCACGGTCAGAAGTAGCCCCTGGTGTCATGCTCAACATCAATGGAACAAAGACTTATAACTGGTAACTTCTACTTCCCATGTTGTTTCAATAGTGTATGAGAAGCTGGAGTGTCCTCTCCAGAGCACGAAGCCTGGGTAAAATAATATGGAGGATAAGCTGTTACCCAGTCAGCAAATCCCCCCTCTCCACGTCACTGAAATAGTCCAGTGGAAAAGCAAGAGCCAATACAACTGGTTCCAGCAACGTCACAAGAGTTGCCAGAATGACACCAACTGCCTCCGGGACTCCGGCTCCAGATTTTTCAGGTTAACTCCTGAAGCCTTTTCCTCCATATAGCCACAAGGCAGTGGAGGTTTGAATTTGGAGTTTTCCTTCTCCCAAATGGGCTGCCTTCCCAGGCTGATGAGCCCCACCTACCCAGGACTTACTCACAGAAACCTTTTAAAAAACCACATCCAATCGAGGATGGCCTCCCAGACACAGCTCTCCTTCTGCTCCCTCTGCAGGGACTGAGCTCAGGGCTGCTAGGAGCCCTTGTAGGGAGCTAAGCTGCTAGCTCCACCCCCACAGGGGCTCAGAAGAAGCCCTGCCCCCTCAGACCATGCACTCAGGGAGAGTCCACAGTCAGAAACAAACTGACTCACAGACAGGACTCGGGTTCAATCAGCCGTTTTACTTCCAACTACGTATACAACATTTATATTTAATACATATTTGGATCGAAATCTCAGCACAGGAGGCCCTGCAGATGAATGTCTTCCCATCGCAGGACTTGGTCTCTCGCTCCCCTGAAGGCATCCTGCAGTCGTTATTGGAACAGTCCAGAGGGGCCGTGGCGGGGGGGGGAGGGCAGGGATCCTTCCCCAAGCAGCAACACAGAGTTGGCGAAGCTCACGCTGAAACGCCAAGCGCTGAGGTTTCTCTGGTGCAAAATGAGCTGCTTCTGGACACCCTGCCCCATGGCCGTCCTTGCTCAACAGGGTCCCAGCTTCAGCTCTGCGGGGAGCCCTCTTGCTGTTTGCAGGGGCCAGGAGGTGCTCCATGGAGGTGGGCGCAGGGCGTCTCGGGGAGGGGATGCAAATGGTGTCGTAGGAAAAGGAAGGACAGGTGCCCCCCCTCCACCACCACCTCCGGCTCATGGCCTCCAGACCTGGTTGTGGGCAAGGAAAGAGGCAGATGGCAAGGGAGGGTCCAAGGTGGTGTTGTGCAGAATCAGCCCTCCGAGCCACTGAAGCTGCAAGAGAAAAGCACACAGAGAGAGAGAGAGAGAGAGAGAGAGGTGGGGGAGTTGATTCTCTCCCCCCTCCCCAGTTGCCTTTCCCTCACATGTGACAGATGGCCCCTCGGGGCTCCTTCCCTCTGGCCAGCATCCTATTGCTGGTCTCCATTAGGTTTAGACCTGCTGACTCAATGGGATGGACATCCGCGTTGACTTTGCATGCAGCAGCTGTTTCCAGAGTCTCCTCTTGTTTGGGACTAGCAGCCATAGGATAGTGGCCCCTGCCTTTCCCCAGGGGCCTCTCGAAAGACGTCCACAGATTGGCTCCTTTAGGGGGCTGCCCATGACTCACCCTCAAAGCCTGGGGGCTCATGGGGGCTTCTTAGGGTTGCCCCCTCTAAGCATCAAAGTGGAGGCATTAGAAATGAGTGTCACGGACACACAGGGATTAAATGGTTGACACGCAGGAGCTGTGTGAAGGGAAGGAAGGATGGGATGGGCCTTTGACTCCACCCAGACTACTGGTCCACGGAGCTTTCAAAGCCTGGCAAAGGGTTCCTGGCAGTCTGTCCCGCCACACAGGGGATGACCAGAGGTGCAGAATCATGCCTATCACAACAAGGTGAGCCCTCCTTTCATTGTTCAGAGGCCGGGGCAAGACCTCGTTGCATGAAGCTGTGACTTAAAACATCATGGAGTAGGAAACCAATTCTGAAATCCAGTATGGAGAGAGTGATGGACTCTCAGGAGACGAGAACACTCATAGCATACTCCCCAAGTATCCAGAGCAGCCTTTATCTCTTATTTCCTTCTCTTTACAGGTAGTGAGGATAGCAGGGTACAAACTTATCAGGCAAAACCCAAAGAAAAATAAAATGTAAAAAAGACGAAAACCTTGTGGCATCTTAAAAACTGTCATATTTTTGTTTGTTTGTTTATTTGTTTATTTATTTATTTATTTATTATGCCGCCCACACTACCCAAAGGTCTCTGTATGACAGGCGGGCAGGGAAAGGCAGGTGGGCCAAAGCGCTGCTCCTTGAGCCCTGGTGGCAGAAGGAAACCACCAAAATCATGGAATTTTTAATTTCTTTTTTTCAAAAAAGAGATGTGCTTTAGTTAGTGGGCACTTTCCTAGCCAGTGCATTAACTTACCCAGACACCTCAGGCCTTGGTGTTTATGGACTAGGCACCTGCGCTGGGAGTCCAGGGCTGGCTGCCTTCTCACAGATATATTGAAGGGTTGCAGAACAGCCACCAAAACTCAGATCCCGGTCTCTAATTTTTACACAATAGCCGTTATAATAACTGGGTAGTTGTTTAGTCCTGGAAAGAAAACAGAAACCTCATAATTAGAGGAGTAACCAAGCTACATTAGTCTGTTGCAACTCACGATGTGAAACTTCCCAAAATGTTGAAGCTATGGAGCAGACCCTGTTTTGTGTTCGTGTCTCCCCCTGCCCAACTGCAAAAAAGACGCACTGATATCTGGGGCACATTGGAAGACATAAGCAACGCTTCGCTTTAATGCCCTTTACAGACGTTCCAGTTTTGTTACTGTACAGCAAAGGCAGTTGCTACGTTAGGGCAGGGGTGAATAATGAGTCCCCCAAGTACCCTAACGCAACACAACCAGCAGAAGTCACTCTGTTGCCGAGAGGCCACGTGGCACCAGCTGAAGCCACACTATGAGGAACACAGGCTGTGGCACTCCAGGGACACTTCAGGGAGAAGGCTAAAGATCCTGCAGACGGAAGAACTGGTGGGATGAGGCACTTCAGGGCAGTAGCGTATTGGGGGTGGCCAGCACCCAGGGCAAAGCAAACCCCCCCCCGCTCCTGCTGCCATGCTACCTGCCAGGTCTGCACAGAC